TGGAGAGGTTCGGAAATCGCTAAAAGCACAAAACTCAGCTTTCAAGTCCGGTGATAAAGAGGCACTGAGAACAACACATACTAACTTCAACTGTGCCATCAGATCAGTGAAGCAGAACCACAGCCAGAAGATCCAGGTACTTTTCCACGACAACAGCAACACCGGGAGGATGTGGAAAGGCATTCGGATGATCACAGACTACAAACCCGTTTCCAAACGAAATTTCTTTTTGTTTTATTTGTCTTTTGTTTTTGTTTTTTTTACAAAAAAGGACAAATAAAATCTATCTAAAGTCTAAAATTCTAAAGTCTATCAGCTAGAATTCTGAAACTCAAAGACTTGTTATTCTGCTTTCAAAATGTCCACCTCCCCTCCTTTTATTATCTTAAATTAGATGCACCTGTTTGAGGTCATTAGCTGCATAGGGACACATGTCCATCCCATACAGTAAGAACTAACATGGTCAAGACCAAAGAGACCAAATAGCTGTCCAAAGACATTAGAGACAGCATTTTAAACCTCCACAAGGCTGGACAGGGCTACCAGGAAATTGCCAAGGAACTTGGTGAAAAAAGGTCCACTTTTGGAGCAATCATTAGAAAATGGACGAAGCTAAACATGATTGTCAGTCTCCTTTGGANACAATAACCCATTTTAAAAAACATTCAGCAGTCTAATGGCGGTGGGGAAGAAACTGTTATGGAATCTGCTGGACCTGCATCGGATGCTTCGAAGTCTCTTGCCAGAGGGCAGCAAGGGTCATTGATGATGACTCGGGACACGCAGCGGTTGGATGAAATGTCTTTAATGGAGGGAAGAGGAGCCCCGATAATCTTCTCTACTGTTCTCACCAGTCTCCTCACTTTCTTCCAGTCTGCGGTGCTGAAGCCTCCACAACACACAGAGAGACAGCTGGTCAGAACGCTCTCTATGGTGATTCTTTAGAAGGTGGTGAGGATGGGTGGGGGCAGATGGGCTTTCCTCATCCTCCACAAGAAGTACATGCACTTCTGTGCCCCTTTGATCTGTGAGGTGGTGTTTACATTCCAGGTGATGGTGTCTGTGATGTGCACCCCCAGGAATTTGGTGCTGTTGAACACCTCTACAGCTGAGCTGTTGATGAACAGTGGAGCGTGGTTCGGCCGGTTCTTCCTGAAGTCCAAGATGATCTCCTTCATTTTCTCTACATTCAGGATCAGGCTGTTATCTCTGCTCCACCAGCTGCTCCACCTCCTCTCTGTAGTCCAGGTCGTTGTCGTCTCTGATGAGGCCCACCACCGTGGTGTCGTGTGCAAACTTCACCATGTGATTGGTGGTGAACCTGGGGACGCAGTCATGTGTCATCAGGGTGAACAGCAGGTGGCTCAGGAGCGCAGCCCTGAGGGGAGCCTGTGTTTAGGATGATGACATCAGAGGTGTTCTGTCCAACCCCGACTGACTGAGGTCTGTTGGTGAGAAAGTCCAGCAGCCAATTTCGGAGGGGTGTATTGACTCCCAGCTGTTCCACTTTGCCCATCAGATGTTGAGGGATGATGGTGTTGAAAGCTGAACTGAAATCCAGGAACAGCATCCGCACGTGGCTGATCTTCTCCTCCAGGTGTGCCAGGCTCAGGTGGATAGCAGCAGAGATGGCGTCCTCAGTGGAACGGGTCGAATGTTGGCAGCAAACTGGAGACGATTTGCTCTTTAACCAGCCTTTCGAAGCACTTCATCATGATTGCAGTCAGTGGGACAGGCCGGTAATCATTTACTGAGGTGAATTGAGGCTTCTTTGGGACAGGAATGATGGTGGCAGACTTGAAGCATGCTGGCACTACGGATCGGTGCAGCGAGGTGTTAAAAATGTCTGTGAGGACACCAGCCAGCTGATCTGCTGACTCCTTATACAGCCGCCCAGGTAGGTTATCAGGCCCTGGGGCCTTCCTTGGATTGACTCTCATCAGAGTTTTCCTCACTTCAGCTACGTCCAGGTTTAGTGCCTCCTTTCCCTGGTGTGGAACAGCTTTACCCGGTGGAGTGCTGTTTAGTGCCTCGAACCTTCCAAAGACGTTGTTCATTTTATTTAAGAAGTCAGTGTTTGCTGCAGCTACCGAGGGGAGGGTGCGTTATAGTTCGTGATCATCCGAATGCTTTTTCACATCCTCCTGGTGTTGCTGTCATCGTGGAATCTGGATCTTCTTAGACAGGTGTTCAAATACTTATTTGCAGCTGATTTATACAAATAAATAGTTCAAAAAATTTTGGGATTTCTGTTTCTTTTTAGATTATGTTCTGTCACAGTGGACATGACAATGACAATTTCCGACATGGTCTCTAAGTAGGAGAACTTGCAAAATAGCAGGGTGTTCAAATACCTATTTTCCTTACTCTCGATATACTAAGAAATGCATTCTAAAAGAAAAGTAAAAAAAAAAACATTGGACTTTTTAAAGTTTTTTTTTGCAATGACTATGACCTGGATGACTTCACCAGCATAAGAAATTTATGTTTTCTTTTAGCTGTAAGAGGCACTAGAAGGTCCAGCAAGCCGCTTCTGGGTTTGGAGCTTGAGGCTCTGATGTAATTTCCCTTCCTCGCGTTTAGTTGGAGCTAGGATCTTTGAAACCCCCCCAAAAAATAATCATGCTACAACCACTCTCTATTTAACTTCCACTAATTGCAGTCAAAATTCACGTCTGCAAGGGCTTTCGCATAAAGGACAGATAATTTTTTACCTGTGTTCAAAACTACAGAAAAAGGATGTTTTCAAATTTCTCCACTGGAAGCTGTTTTTAAATTGCAAAGTTTGCAGAAAAGATGATGAGTTGCTTATACTAGTAATAATAAATAATAAAACCTTTGCGCACACTTTCCACAGAGTGTTCAGCCTGGATAAATGGAGAGGTTCGGAAATCGCTAAAAGCACAAAACTCAGCTTTCAAGTCCGGTGATAAAGAGGCACTGAGAACAACACATACTAACTTCAACTGTGCCATCAGATCAGTGAAGCAGAACCACAGCCAGAAGATCCAGGTACTTTTCCACGACAACAGCAACACCGGGAGGATGTGGAAAGGCATTCGGATGATCACAGACTACAAACCCGTTTCCAAACGAAATTTCTTTTTGTTTTATTTGTCTTTTGTTTTTGTTTTTTTTACAAAAAAGGACAAATAAAATCTATCTAAAGTCTAAAATTCTAAAGTCTATCAGCTAGAATTCTAAAACTCAAAGACTTGTTATTCTGCTTTCAAAATGTCCACCTCCCCTCCTTTTATTATCTTAAATTAGATGCACCTGTTTGAGGTCATTAGCTGCATAGGGACACATGTCCATCCCATACAGTAAGAACTAACATGGTCAAGACCAAAGAGACCAAATAGCTGTCCAAAGACATTAGAGACAGCATTTTAAACCTCCACAAGGCTGGACAGGGCTACCAGGAAATTGCCAAGGAACTTGGTGAAAAAAGGTCCACTTTTGGAGCAATCATTAGAAAATGGACGAAGCTAAACATGATTGTCAGTCTCCTTTGGAGCCTCCTTTGGACTGGGGCTCCATGCAAGATCTCACTTTGTGGGTCTCAATAATCCTAAGAAAGGTGAGAAATCAGCCCAGAGCTACACGGGAGGAGCAGGTCAATGACCTGAAAAGAGCTGGGATCACCTTTTCCAAGGTTACTGTTGGTAATACACTAAGACGTCATGGTTTGATATCATGCATGGCGTGGAAGGTTCCCCTGGTAAACCAGCACATGTCAAGGCCCGTCTTAAGTTTGCCAACAACCATTTGGATTATCCAGAGGAGCAATGGGAGAAAATCATGTGGTCAGATGAGAACAATTAGAACTTTTTGGTCATAATTCCACTAACCATGTTCGGAGGAAGAAGAATGACGAGTACCATCCCAAGAATACCATCCCTACTGTGAGGCACGGGGGTGGTAGCATCATGCTTTGCGGTGTTTTTTTGCACATGGGACAGGGAGATTGCACTGTATAGAGGAGAGGATGACCTGGGACCTGTATTGCCAGATTTTGGTGAACAAATCCTGACTAATCTAGAGAAGATCTGTGTGGAGGAGTGGGCCAAAATCCCTCCTGCAGTGTGTGCAAACCTGGTGAAAAACTACAGGAAACATATGACCTCAATAATTGCAACCAAAGGCAAGTGTACCAAATACTAACATTGATTTTCTCAGGTGTTCAAGTACTTATTTTTAGCTGTATCGTACAAATAAAAAGTTTAAAAAATTATATATTGTGGTTTCTGGATTTTGTTTTTTAGATTATGTCTCTCACAGTGAACATGCACCAACGATGACAATTCCAGGCCCCTCAATGATGTCTAAGTGGGACAACTTGAAAAATAGCAGGGTGTTAAAATACTTATTTTCCTCACTGTATGTTTAAGTTCATTGTTTGTTTCTTGTTTTTCATGAAACAATAATTTCAAATTTTCAATATATTTGAACAAAACAATGTCAAAAAGTCCAGGTTACATTTTTGACCCAACTTTTACAATCCTTGGATTAGTTGCACTTGAAACCTTATTTATTTATTTATTTTTCAAATGTTGGTGCAGAGTTTGTTGGTGGTCCATTCTCTTACATCAAACTCTTACATCAAACTCATCTTAACAAGTCCTGTATAAATTCAGTTCAAAAGCATGTACTTCAAACTTTTGGACAAATTAAATAAAGAATTTATGGGGAATCTTAAATAAAAATGACATAGGATTGTTAAATATCCGACTTTATAGAGGCGGGAATTTGGGTTCATTGTAAGTTAAATGTGGTACCTGAAACTGAAACATAAAGGCTTTCTCTTGAGTTTAATAAACATTTTCAATTCGCGAAACAAGCGCTGTGACCTTTAAATATTCTACTCAACAAATCAATCCTTTGTAGTTATTAACACATAAAAGTTTGCTTGTTTCTTAGTTTTTCATTTTTGCTTGTTTTGTTCAGAATCTGGACAGAGAAGCGTTTGAATCCGGATGGGAGGCAGAGGAGGAGTGTCCAATGGCAGGAGCGGGGAGGCGGTGAGGGAGGCGCAGCAGCGGCCAGGCCAGCTGCAGGAAAGCTGCGCGCTGCTCTCCTGAACCAGCCGCTGGGGCCGCATCAGGTGGAGATCTGTTCATCAGCGCAGCAGCAGCAGCACAGATCACCATCAGACTCCTCCTGCTCCTCATCTCCGCGGCTCCAACTTCACGGGTTTTGTTTCACCTCTGAAACTGTTTTTTTTTCCTTCTTCTTTTTTTTTTTTTTGCCATAACACTCTCTGAACAAGACAAGTGGAAACCTAGAAAAAAAAGACACCGGCAGAAAAAAAGGTGAAAATATGCTCTATTTTTTAATAATGTAGAAAATTTAGATATTATGGTTTTCTATTTGTATTATAAGGTTAATAAACGGTGTTTCTTGGACGGCAGATTTGTAACACAGCTGTGAGTTCAGTACCTGTTGCTGTGTTATTAAGAGCTGAAGCTATATTAGACAGAGGTGCTTGGCAACTCAGGGACAGACGGGCTATTCTTAAACGCTCTATTTTGACTGATGTAAACAATTCATTAGGAATCATCATCCCCCAAATTATTCCCAGCTTTGAGCTTTGGGATTCTTTCTCATTGTTATTTTAGGTTCTTATAGAATATAAGATATACGATATTCGATATATAAATGTACGTTGGGCCCATGCCATGATAGCTCCTCTTCCACTCTAAGATAGATAGATAGATAGATAGATAGATAGATAGATAGATAGATAGATAGATAGATAGATAGATAGATAGATAGATAGATAGATATTGAGCCATTTGTGGTAAGTTCTCTGACTGCTTTTCCACCAAAAACATGAAGGTCAAATGTCTTTATCATGCTTAGAGTGTGTACCATTGCTGCTCATATCAAAAATATCAAGGCAATTAAATTATCTCCAGTTAAAATTAGATAGAAATTTCCTCACCATTACTCTGGTCAGGCCGCTAGTCAGTGTATGAACTGTCTGACCCTCTAGCTGACAGGAGCACACACACATACACACACTCACACACACTTGAGGCGACTTTTGTGTTTCTACAAGTAAACACAGATCAATAAGATGCAAAATAAAATGAAAAACATTGATAAATTAAAAGAAACCGATAAGTACTAAAAAATGTAAATTTGTAAAATTTCTAATTTTACAAGTCTGAAATGTTTAAGTTACCAAGTACAATTTTTTTAACAGGTCCTTGTGATGTAACAGATGCTTCATCCCTTTTTTAAATGTGAGATGCAGAGAGCATGCATTTCTTTGCAGCGGAGTTTACTGTCAGTCTTCAGGGGACTTGTACACTAAACGTTCACCCTGCTTGGACACACCTGGTTTAGATTTATCACACACTGGATCTGTCACTCTTTCTCTGTCTAATTCCTTAACCCACTGATAATAGGAATTCCTCTCTAGTCTTACAAGTTATTTTACTCTCACTAATGCGCCATTTGGCCATAAAAAGGAAGCATGGAACCAAACTAGTCTATAGGATGTTCGCACACAGTAGATCATTTAGTAGAACATCATTTTTAAACACATTTTTAAATCAGCCGTGTTTTTCACTCCTTTGAACATTACATGATTTGTTAATTTTTTTTGTTGCATCTGCAAAATAATCTATAAACATGGTTAATATACATATTTAAATACGTTAAAGAGGAGAGAAAAAAAATTACTGTTAAAAGGGGGTAAGTAAAATTACTTTTAAAATATGATAAAGCGGTTCTATGTGTTTCTAAAATGACAGATTAAGTCTTAACATCATAATGATTCAATAACTCTTTTATAAATTACGGCAATATTAGAAGATGAAGAAACATTTGTTTAAAGACATTTTTCCAACACTGCATAAATGTGATTTTCTTCTCCAAGTTTGACTCAGTGGTGAAAAAAGTGATGTAGTTTCTCACACTACTGCTACCACTTTATACAGCCTAGCTGAGGGTGAAGGATCGAGGTAGCATCTCTGGGCGATCAGCTCCCCTTCCTTAGGTACATGCCTTTTTATCAAATAGCGTTAAATGATCAATGGACTTCTACGTTACTCTGCTTTGGTTAAAACCAAATATCTAACATCTCATTGATCCTTGATGTGACAGAATTCATAAGACTTATTTGGTCTGATTTGAATTGAGTTTGGAGCTGTGAAGCTGGATAATAATCAGAGCAAGTTTGTCCTGTAGAGTACGCTGAGATGACATGGGTTGTGTTTTGGTGGTATACAAATAAAAAATAAATAGAAATACCTCCCATCAAATGAATCATAAGCTGGTAAAAATGTAGATCTTATATTCACTTTATTGTTACCAATATTGATGTGTCTCTTTTGTCGTGTTGTTGGAGGACATTAATGAAGAAGACAGATTTTTTTTTTTCAATATTAAGGATATATTCTATTGGTGTGAACGTCATTACTGCTATTTCCCATTTTCATATTGCAGGAGTTTGAATACCAAAACAAGGCATCTGTCAAAACTCTAAATATCAGTTCAGAGTAAAGTTAAGAAGCCAGTGACACAGTGTGTTTCCTCTTCCACCACAAATGGCCTTCTATCTAGCCACATTTAACACACGTTAATGCCAATGCCTCTCTGAAATCTCTTTTGATGTCAGATCATGAGTTTAAGTTAATGTGCATGCACGTGTTTACCATGTTTCTGAAACATTTACACGCCACCGTGATCCGAAATGACTCATGGAAAGAAACCCATCGAAGCAGAAACCTCAATTCTCTGCAAATGCCCCACTTTTTTCCCTTTCTCATTCATGCGTAAAGTTTACAGCAGTATGAGCACATGGTGCGTACATTATTAAACAACACTTGTGAGCTAACTCTGATCTTACTGATTGAAATATTACTGTCTGATGAAGTTTTCTCTGCATGCTTTGTGTCCTGCTGATGTTTTCCCTGGTCTTAAATCAGAGAATCCATTTGTGTTGCAGAGTAAACCTGTTGCACTGAGTGCTGTGTGTTTTGCTTTTTAAGTTTCTATGAGTGGATTCAACACATTATGACAGTGCAGACAGTACTTCTGTCTCTTATTCATGAGGTTTTCAGGTATATAAGAATAAGATACACCTTTTCCTTCTCATCTCCTTTTTTTACAGAGGCGGCTTGTTTTGGATTCAACTTAGAGATCCGGATTCCTTGTTTAGAACTTTACACCAACAGGCTTCAAACAGCCATTTTAACGTGGGAAATCTTGTATTATGAGCCTTGAACAACACAGCCAGGCTTTTCCTGCCCGTCTTGGCCTTTAGGCTCTTGACAAACCTGTGAAACCACAAAGAGCTCTGCAGCCAGCTCTGCGCTCCCCGGCTGGATGCGTGGCTATATTTACTCATTTAGTGGTGTGTTTTTCACAGAGCAGCCTGTGGCGCTTGATAGCTGTAATTTGGTTATTTGGTAGATGAGGGGAACCTTCTGTAAAGATGCAAGATAAAGATCTTTTTGCGCTGCTTAAAACATACGTCCCACTTCCTTGTCTTTCCACCCATGAAAAGTCTTGATATGAGGTTAAATTGTCTCACTTCTGGTGTGAAAAAAAATGAACCGCTTGCGTGGACCTAGTGTGAATTCTTTGTGGTATCAAAGTTGTCAGTCAGATATACCAACACTGGTTTTTGTGGTCCTATTTGTCCATTACGTCCTTTGTTTTGCCGAGGTGCGCGCTGCTGCTCTGCAGGATTCGCTGTTAACTTGTCTCATGTTTTGTGCAGCAGATTTCCTCTAACTTTATAAGGTAATTGTCAAAGAGGTGGATTCCACCAGAAGTGACCCGAATGCATTTGTGCCAAGCTTACGTTGAGGAGCAGCGGGTACTTCAGGGGTCATGGGAACATGGGCGCCATATCCGCTCAAGCAGCATCAACAGAGGCGAGCGACTAAATTTAGCAAACTCTGCTACACGTCCAGAATTAAGGGGGAAAACCAACAGAAATTCCTCAGGGGTCAGGAGATGTATTCTATAGTCATATAATAAGGATAAAGTAACTGTCAATGTTTTCCACTGAAGCAAACAGGACTCTAGGAAAAGTCATTGATTTTTCTTTTCTGTAACACCAAAGCTCTGTATTAAAGGAGCAATGTTTTGACTGCAAGTAAATAAAGAAAACATTCTCAAGCCTGCCACCCTCCATCCACGGCCTTGCCCTCTGCCCCTCAGAGTCTCGCTTTCTCTCCAACCTCGCTGTGCATGAGAGACGAGTGGGTGGCTAATGTTGTGGGCCATCTTTCAAAAACTCACACACCATTTTCCTTCTGCTGTTTGGTTTAAGCTATTGCCTGCTGAACCTCTAAAAAGGAGCCGTGGACTGTATTTTTAACCCCGTCTCTTGGGGCCAGGCGGTGCATTTGAGCACCGCGCTGCTAGACTGAGGGAAGAGTAACGCACAGACTCTTTCAGTCTGCGTGGACAAATGGTCTGGCAAAAGTGGTTCTGACTTTAGACCACATCGTCTTATGGTGGTAAAAATAAACGCTACCCCCCTGAACAGAGAGGAAGGAACCTGAGTCACTTCGACCAAACAGAGGACATGTTCTCAACAGATCTAAACTGATGTGAGAGACTTACAACAAAAAAGTGGATTTTAATTAATTAAATGTAATTCTGTACAAAAGTGAAGAATATTTTCTAGAAGTTCTGTAACCAAAAAGCGGCAAATTTAACTTTGTCAAGAGTATTGTAGCCAGGATATTAGTGCTGGCCTGCAATTGATCAAAAACCATTGGAGTAAAAATGTCTTAAATGTATTTATCCTTAATTTGAATTAGCAAATAAGATGATGTCCCAATGGAATCATATCAACCTTAAAATAAGAAAATTAGATATTATGCTCTTGAAATCAGAGACTGCAGGTGTTTTTTTCTTATTTTAAATGTAAATTGTCTTGTTCCATTGGTAAAGTGCCTCACTTACCTGATTCTCAATTAAAGAAAAAATGCACTTATTTAAAGAAAAATTTACTTTTTGCTGTGTGAAATATATGCATGCAAATAAAAAAAAAACTAGAATAGAAATATCATTGTTTGTCGCTCGGTGGAGAAATTTGAGACATTTATTAATGCTGTTGTCCACAAACACAATAACAGGCTTGCTGGAAAAAAATATTATTGTTTTCAACTTGAAAATAACAGTATGGTGAATGGAACATGCATCCTTTACCTTCATACCACCATATAAAATTCACTGAAATCAGCTACCAGTTCAGAAATGTGGTCCAACTGTGTAAAAATTAATTAGAGCTGCCATGTAAAGGCCTCAGTGTTTTATTAGTGATCAGAAAGCTCAAAAGGGAAGAGTTTGTTGGCAGGACAAACATTAGTCATTTACCACACCTCTGGTGTCTATTCAGAAGATGCAACAATAAATCCATGGGCGTAGGTTTGCACAGGGACCATAGGGACATTTCCCTACCAAAAGTTTGGACCGACCTACTTTATCCCTACCAACAATTACATGTGAATAACATGTTTATAATTTTCAATAAAACGTTGCAGCAGTAGAGGACTTCTGGATGGAGAATATTGACAGACGAAAACATGTTTTATCTAAAATGCAAAATGTTTATTTATTTTTAGAATTTTGCTATAATTCCTGTTCTAAGTGGGTCACTCTTTGAGCTAAAGACATGTTTTAGAGTCTCTACACTGAAACAAAAATTGGAACCACTGTTGGCATTTATTAATCATATTTAGTTACTTTAACAATTGTTTTATGTCCTACCCTGCTAACATGAAACTATTGTGTTAAAGTAACCAAATATGATTAAGTTAATGCCAAAAAATGGTTGCATAATTTTTTTGCCATTGTATACTACAGCTCAGGATTAATCGATTACTTAATTTGCTGTTATTTCAATAATTGTTTAATCCGATTAATTGTTTCAGACCTAAATAAAATACATGAAACAGAGTAACTACAGCCTAGATGTACAACTTGTAGAGTGAAGTTAATATATAAAATGCTCAGTGTTAGTTCCTCTTCTACAGTAGTTCCAGCGCTCATGTACCGGTAAATACAATACATTTATTTGGCGTCCCTTGAATCTATTATTTCGCTTTGTTTCATGATGCAAAGATAACATTTAAAAGATAAAAGTGGGTTTTACCTCTGTTTACCTCTGCACAATTCTATATTTTCAAAATAAAAAAAGTATAAATCCACATATAGCAGACATATTTAGACTATATTCTGTCAAATAGGCACAGATTTACCTACCGTCTTAGTCACTGGTAAATTCAACTGCAAACCTTTTCAAAGTGGAAAAAACTCCTAATTCCACATTCAACAGAGCAAGTTGAGCTTCAGTCATTGATAAACCGATCTAGTGTGTGTAGTGCTTATAAAATTTGTATAAATGTAGAAAGAAATGCTGCTTTTCTCTTTAAATGAAATACACCCTGATTTTCATGTCAAGCATGAAAAAAAATTAGCATGCATGTTTTTGCATAGGACCAATGACATCAGACCAATAGTGTCCCTACCAATGTTGAAATCAAAGCTACGCCCTTGAAGAAAGTTATACGAAGTGCCAATTTGTTGTTTGCAAAAAAAAAAAAGTATTGGTGTCAGTATCATGGGGTTGTGACCTGAAAGCTCAAAGGGTTGAGCCCGCGACAGGATTTATTGAGAAAAAAGTTCACTAAAGTATATGGTGTCATTTGTCCACAGGTTTTACGACAAAACATGGGAAGAAAGAAAATTCAAATTTCTCGGATTCTTGACCAGAGGAACAGACAGGTGAGTCTATAAATAAAACTTGGTCTGATCATTTTTGCACTTCTGTATCGCTCACATTATCTGTTACTGAAAGCAAATATACTTAAAAAGGAACCAAAAGCATATGAAAAATACATTAAATAATAAAAACAGTTCATGCTTCATGCCTTACAATACAAACAGCAACAAGTTTAGTTCTTATTAATATAGCAAACAAAAAAATTCAAAAACCACACAAAAAAAATAGAAATACTATAGAAGATTTAGGAGAAACAGACACCATAACATGACGCCCTGTTACTAAAATCCACCTAAATTAATGAAAAATAGTGAACTTTGAGGCAGGACAGGACAAAAAAATAAAAAATTAATCATAGGTAAATATCTAAAATCCAGCGGCTGTAGCAGCAGAAGACATGAGTTGGTATTCAATTATTATAGGTCAACTTATTTTTCATTTAAATTCCTTTTGTTCCATTGTTAAGACATATCATTAGGAAAAAGGCACACAGTGTTATTATGGATGTGCAGAGCTGCTCTATGTGGCATATAAATCCTCACATAGACTAAGACAACTTTTATTGTCACTTTGTATACATAGTGTATACAAAACGAAACTTCATTTTGTACAGCTTTCATGACATTTCCATTTCTTATAGTGCAGCAGTGATCAAATGTAAACATTGTGGGAGAAACAAAAAAAACATTTAAAAAAACCCCAATATGGATCCTCACAGTAAAAAGTGAGTAAAATCTTCTGTTTGTTCTTATGGACCGTCGCACAGGAAATACATTTATTATCCGATCGGCAGAAGAGCTGATTTTTACTGGGAAGGATTTCTTCTGTTTGATTTTGTTTTTCCTTTTTTCATTTCACATAAACTTTGCTGAAAATCCAAAAAGCAGCTTCTTGCAAAATGATACATTTTTATGAGCTCTTAATTTGTGCTATATTTAGATTTTGGTTCCAGTATGAAAATCTATTCTTGATTCCATTAATAATCAGCTGTAGAATCTGTTACCTCAGCCTTAGAAATATGTTGACATTTCTGCACCATGTGTCACATCAAAGGTCAGCTATGCATATCATAAGAGTCTGCTGAAGTTTTGTCGAGACGATGCACATGGCTGTAAGAAACAGAGCATTTTCTTACTGCCAACTAAATGGTATAACTTTAGAAAATGACATGAGAACGTCGACAGGCTAACACGGGATAACAAAATGAGTTCAAACGCTATAAAACAAAGGATTTTCAAGTAAAGTTTTTGTCTTTGAGAATGTTATAGTTTAAAAGTACACAACATAAACCAACAAAAAGAAAAGTTATATTAATTTTTTTTTGAAAGGTATTTAAATAAAAAGTGACATTTAATTAATTACTCTCAATGTTCAGCACAGTTGTTTTTGTGTCATTTTGTCTCATGTATCCTGACAGTTTTATGTGTCTGAGGAAAGACAATAGTTAGATTTAGATTTTAGATTTATTTATTTTCACAAATCAAAATTGAAGTTCAGAATACATCCATAAGATAATATTGAAAATAAAAATGAGTAAAAAATATTGAAAATACTGTAAGAAATGATTGTGGGAGAAACCCCTTATACCAAAGGCCACACACCTAAAACATCAGGCAGCTCACATTATAAAACACATTTCAAAAACAGAAAACAGGAAAAAGCATGTACAGGGCGACATTATTTTTACATTTTAGTTTTCAGGGAGTCAATATTTATTAAATCATGCATCACTGTCCTTGTTGGATATCATGGTTTCCTTCAAAGACTTTTTACCATTTATCTCTGAAGATTCCAAATATTTTTCATATTCATTCCATAATTTTGCACCAGGATGTCGAAAAGAAAATTGCACTTGAGTTTTAGTACTTAATGGTAAATGAAAAGACAAAGCTTGTCTCTCTAAGAATGCATTCTGCAGTGGAACTATCAGGAGACTGACCTTGTTTTATCATAAAAACAAAGGTACATGTTTGATAAATATAAATTTCATAAATATTCTACAAGCAGTAAATTGGAGAAAAGGGGAGCATCAGCTGAATCAACTTTAGAAAATGTTCCTAAGTGAATAAAAACTTTTTGTAGAAGTAGGATTTTTTTAAGATAACTAGGAAATTTACTTATTTGTATGTGAATTTATTGTAACAGAGAAAAAAAATGTGGATTTAACAAAGGATTACATTTCAAATCGATTTCATTTCTGTTGCTCCCAAAAAAAAAATATATTTGCTAGCTTTAAAAATGTTTAGCTATTAAAATTTAAAAGAGCATTTCAGCAACATTACATTTTTCTAGCACTGCAGAAAAATTATTCTAAAATAAACTATTTATTTTGAAAGGAAAGTAAAAAAAAAAAGGAAAGATAAATGTTTTCTATTTTTTTGTTCGATGTTTGAGCTTTCCATCTAAAAAGAAAGCTTGAACCATTGATAATTAACAAAAACAATGAGACGAGCTGTTAAAACCACCTTTCTGTTGAATTTATTATTAAAAGACTTTTCTCACTTGGTTTTAAAAGAGCCACAGTGGAGGGGCCAAAGATTCACACGTGGCCTCGGAGCCGTTGGTAGCAAACCCTAGACTATGGGTTAATGAAATATGTGTCAGTGGGAGAAGTCTGCTTTTTAGAGAAAAAGACCAATTCACAAAAAGATTATGTTGATTTTTTACGCAACAAGAACTAATAAATGTATAATATTTTCAACCTTGTTTAAAAGCTATAACAGCTGGCGTTTATTCACAGGACGCGGATTTGATTGATTTTTTTGTTACCACGGCAGGTGACCTTCACCAAACGTAAGTTTGGTCTGATGAAGAAGGCGTACGAGCTGAGTGTGCTCTGTGACTGCGAGATCGCCCTCATCATCTTCAACAGCACCAACCGTCTGTTCCAGTATGCCAGCACGGATATGGACAAAGTGCTGCTGAAATACACAGAGTACAGTGAGCCGCACGAGAGTCGCACTAACACCGACATCCTGGAGGTATGCCGTTAACTTAGGAAAAGGATGGCAGAATTTTCTTTTAATTAAGTTGTTGCAATATAGTTTTTGCAAAAATGAACATCAGAAAAAAATGTTTTTGAAATAAATACAAATGCTTACACTAGTCCACCTATTAACACACAAACCTAAAACCAAGAAAGCCCAAACATATGAAAGGACGCAAATGTTGGAGAGGTTGTAACGATTGAAGGTTTGCTAGAGTCTTATTAACAGAATGTTTTATTTGATGATGAAATAACAGTTATAAACGTTGAGACAAAAAATCAAGAAAAAAGCAGTTTTGTGACCATTTAGCAGCGACTGGTACGCTCATCATGCACTCCTTTGCCCTGCATCAGACGCTGCGCAGAAAAGGCCTCGGTCTGGATGGCTCGGAGCTCGACAGCGAGGAGAGCGTGCAGGCTGCTGCAGACAAGTATTCTGGCAGCGACAGCATGGACCTTTCTGTGGCTCGCCAGCGTTTCTGTGTCAGTCAACACACACTTCTGCTTTCGCTCACCTAACACAGACACACACATAGAAATTTGAAAACACAGATGCTCAGCTGGTGACAGGCTGGAAGTTGAACTGTGGTTCTGATTCTTTATGCTTCGTCCTTCAGCCTCCCTCTCTGCTGTCACCAGAGACCCAGTTCCTCGTGTCTGCTGGTTGTGAAAATGGTTTCCCCAACTCCTCTGCATGCGCCGTGGCTCCCCACAGGCCAACAGGATTTAAAGCTCTGAGCTCACGTCCAGGATCTGCAAGCCCTGCAGCCCCGCACGGCGCATTCATGTCCCCTCACGCAGGTCAGCACAGCAGCTCTTATGAAATGCTGAAAGCTTTTTGAAATCATCTGACATTATTGTGATTTACAAAAGTACAATATTAAAAAAAAGAAATTTTTATTTGAAAGAGTTTGCATTTAAAGCCATTAATCTGAGGCAGAGAGTTTCAGATAGAAATCCGTCCACCATTTTCTTTTCATGTAGCCTTCATGTGTCTGCTGGCAGCCCAATGTGCAGCTGGCTGTGAACTCACAGGAAGTGTGTGTGTGTTTGCACTAATCCACACATGCAGTAAGCCTGTTTTGTGAAACTGGCCTTCCACTAGTGTAACAGCAGCTATAACCAGTTTTGTGGTTTTTACACAGAATGCATCACACCTGCCTATCATGCCAGACTTTTATATTTTCATGACCACTTCATTAGCTTCTGATGTTTCTAAGTTAATTTGTTTTTCAAACTTTTTAATGTTTATTTCATCTTCTCAAAAGTGATTAAGTCAAGTTGTGGAAAGCTTCTTACTGTTGTTCTACATAGATGGACAAGTTTATTTATTTTCATGTCTTAGATTGAAGAGTGAGTCGCTTCATAAATGATTTTCTGCACTTTATTCACTCCCTGCTCGTCTCTGGTCTCTAGGCATCGGCTACTCAGTGTTCTCTCATGGCAACCTGAACCGCGCTCTGGACATGAAAAGCCCTCCTCCTCCTCTCAGTCTGGGCAGCGAAAACCTGCGGGCAGATGCTGCAAATCAGGCCATGGGGGCTGCAAGAGCAAACCACAACTCTGCTGTGAGTTCCAGCTGCATTGTGATCCAAATTAGACAATCCACCACAAGCCTAGCGTAGAAGTCAAATGTTACAGAATTTCACAGTTTGGTTTATCAGCCACCCTCAGTTCTCACTTTAATAACCGGTGGCCAGTTTTGAGAAGAGGGACTTCGCTGCACATCTTGTATGACTGTCTGTGTTTCTCCTGATTGCCAGAGGAGTCTGCTGTACCAGGGCCTGCATGGCAGCGGCTCTATGGTGGCCATGGGTAAAGCAGGGCTCCTGGGTCACAGCTTCGGGGGCTACAGCCTTCCCTCAACTGGAGCTTCTGGTAAATCTGGTTGGAATTATTCCATAATTATGTAAAATGGTATATAAAATGCTCTGAAGGACTCTTTCTTTTAAACCCCTTCTACTTTGTTGTAACTTTGAAGGGTGTTTTTTTTATGTTAATAACAAATATCTTAGCATAATAGTAAAGAAAAAAGGCTAGGCTCCTGATATTTGGTAGCTATTGTCCGTTTAATGCCTTCGTTCAAGTTTTTTTTTTTAAACCTTAAACCTGATTCAGTTTTCTTCCCCTCCTTTTATTTAACCTGTCTGCCGTTCTTTATGGTTTAATAAAACCATAAAAGCTACTGGTTTTACTGGTATCAGAGATATTAATACAAATCCACACCAAACTTTCATCATCTTTCTTCAATGTTTCTATTTTCCACTGGTCTGCTGGCTCCATGCCATTGTATTTTATTATATCAGCCCTTAAAGTTCAAGTTTATACTTGATTCTTTTGAGATTTGTAAGAAAGGCAAATTGTGAGTTTGGAACAAGACCAGAAATGGGCATGTTTGTGCTTGAAGTGCTTACTTCTTAAGCTAAGGCTAAAAATGGCAGGTGACGCTACTAAGAAAGTGACACCTCCATTGCACTGGGAAGTACATCCGCTTTAAAGACGACTCTTGAATCTGTTGCTAGTTTCGACTTCCTTGTTCTATTTTTTCTTCTTTTTCAGGTTTTTTGTGATTATTCTATTTTTATTTGCTTACTTGTGGATATAAGCTGTTTGTACACTCTTAACTATAAACTAACTGTTCCTCTGGTGTAGCTTTCAAACAGTAATCGTCTAGTTACCAGTAGAGAAAAAGTCAAGAACGGACATATAATCCGCATTTTTGCCAATTCAGTCAGCTTTTCTTCCATTGCTCGTGTCCACACCTATAAAACAAGAACTATAGCGTTAACTTCCACAATTTCATAAACAGCGAGTACATAGGAGCTGTCTCACGATTTAGTTATTTATTAGAGCTGCATGGTGGTCCAGTTGCTTTGCAGTAAAAAGGTTCCAGGTTTGATTCCCAACCCGGGGTCTTTCTGCATCGAGTTTACATGTTCTCCGTGTGCATGTGTGGGTTCTCTCTTGGTACTCCAACTTCCTCCCACATTCCTAAAACACACTGGTGACCTGTCCAGGGTGTAACGCCACCTCTCGCCCATAGACTGCCAGGGATAGGCCCCAGTCCTACCATGACCCTGATGGAATAAGCAGGAGAACATGTATGGATTGATTTCTATCTATCAGATCTAACCCATCTATGGGGCCTGATGTCACCTCCAGTCAGGGCATTTTCTGAGGAAAACAAGTTTTCTTTCAGTTCCCGTATGACTTTGGTTCCTTTGATTCACAGCTGGTTGTAGGCTAATACAGTGTTTCCATGCCTTTTTTGAAAGTGGAGAGTATAATTACTGATTAATAAATAAAAACTATTTCACTTTATCTTTTACTTTTAGCATTTGGTTCTTATCATTTTATGCTTTCCATCTTAAAATCAAATATAAAAACAACATTAATACGTTGCCTGGAAGTTAATAAGCAATTTAAAGACATACAAAATAAAATATAATATACACCTATATTTATAAAACTAGAGCTCCACTCAATAACTTCCTTATAATCACATTTAAACTTGATGAATTGGGAACAAAATACAAAACAAAAATTATCTTCGGACTGACTTAGTTTTACTTGTTTTCATCAAGACACCCGAGCTGCTTTGATGACCAGTGTGAAAAACAGCTGATCCCTGGCTGTTCTTTACATCCAGTCTGTTCACCTGCTTGGTTTGGATGTGAACCAAAGCTGAAGGTGAACAAAAACATATAAAAATAACGTATTTGTTGGTTGATAAAAGCTTGTTTAATTTTCCATTTGGGTCTTCACAAAGCAAAGCAGATTGCAGCCCAATTTTATTTTACTACCTAAGAAATAAAATATTTTGATTTACCCCTTGCAATGCACTCGCAGACCACCAGGGGTACATGTACCCCGAGCTGAGAAACACTGGCCTAATAAACAATATGTAATATAAATAATTTTGTGGCTCATCAATGGGGCTCTGGGTTACAGTTTAACCGGGCTGAGGTTAGGTGGAAAGGTTAATGTAAAAAAAGATAAATACCACAGAAGGGCCTTAGAGTCCCGGGGCCCTGAGACCAGTACCAGCTGTTGCATAATCCTCCAATCAAGAAATGAGAAGCAGCATTATTTTGCTCAGATTTCTTCCCATGAGGCAATCAGTCAGAGCAGAGAGAAAGGTTGTGGGTGTCTTTAACAAAGAGAGATGCAACAAAAACCTGTTTAGATCAATAAGATAGGTGACTTACTGAATCCCTTAACTTCTACAGGGAGAAGATGGGTCAGGGATGGGTAATTTCTTTAGTTTCAAAGACATTTTCTTCAGAGGTTAGTTTAAAACCAGAGCTTTGACCTTGTGGTGAATTTAGATACATTGTATTTGCTCTAAAGTCAAGATAATGGCTTCATGTTTTTATAAAATAGAGTATTGGTCTGAATTAGTTGGGATTAGATGCTGATTTCTAGTCTGCTAATTATCTGTTTGAAAACTTAAAGTGCTTTGAAATATTTCTTTTACTTAAAATTTACATTCTGGAATTTCCATCCCCTTTTTTAACTGCAACACATCTTTACAGCAGTTCCTGCTGGACAGATTTATGCTTCTCGGTATAAAACTTGATGCATGCCGTTTGCTGTGATTAGTTTGTCTTTTTAAGCAGAACAGTTTGTTTGTGTTCGTGTTTTGAAAAGCCGTTTTGATGGTTCAGCTTTAGCCTCCTTAAATGCATTTCAAGTTAACCATCACAGAAAAACCTTACAGCAAAAATTATTTTCTTCAGAACCCTGATAAAATGTTTTTATGTCCTTGCTGTCCAATTTTTCTTAATATCTGTGTCTGTTTCTCTTTTTTAGAGTACACCCAGCCTGGTTTCTTTCACTCTGTTAGTTTACAGCGCGGAACAGTGACTCCCTGGCAGCACGAAAATCAGGGGCCTCATATAAGCTCAGGGTAGGTCCTAAAACTGGTGTTGGAAATGCAAAACATTTATCTTTATATATTTCTGTCAGCGTCTTCCTCCTTACTGTCAACCATTGCATCGTTCAAACAGCACCTTTCTTTAGGGATGTGAGTCTTTCACTGCAGAGATCCAGCTGCAGATGTGAAGGAACAACAGGGACAGTTTTGCAGTAGTTTAACTTATTAAACAGGTCTATTTTAAGGCGGACACCTTCACTAATAAAAGACTAACTGCTGTGATAGAAAGAGGAAATGATGTTTCAGCTTATCGAGCATTAACAGATTACAGTGGTGGTCAGAAATCTGTGATTAAAGTGAAACCAGAATCCATCTGAGCTCTTAGATAAGAAATTGCTTCTTCAGTAGTTTGGTGTTTTTGTTGTCCAGCATGGAGCAATATCCACAGCTGATACTAAGGCTTGAATCTGAGCTGATATAAAGGTATACATATCCAAATGTAAGATAAAAAAACAAAAACAACTAACAAGCAAGAAAAAAAATATAGATTATAAACACTCTGTCTGTCTAGCTCTAGAGGTATTGATGAGCAGAGAAAAAAATAACAAAGTACAAAGTCCTTACTTAGACATTTTGGCTATCTATACTTTACTGGGATAAATACTTTTTAGACGACTCTTTACTTCTACTCCTTAATTTTATGAAAACATAGACTCATTAGTTTTCTTTCATTTAAGCTCATTTTTGTTATGGCCTTTGAAAAAAAACATCAAAATAATTTGTTTCATCCAGAAAATGTATTTCTTTGTGTTGGACTTGTTGCTGCCCCAACGTGTTGTTCCCCACATAGCAAAATAAATGTTTTGCCAAGATGATGCTTAGTTAAATTAGACATTGTTACTATTAGTTATAAAGATAAGAAAATGAAGTTTAAGGAAGTTATCATGCAGAATTGTAGAAACATTTTCCTTTAATAGGGTAGTGCAGTAAAGCTTCTGTTCTTAACATTTTTTCCTGTATTATTTTTACTTTTACACTTTTACTTGAGTAAAAAGCTGAAATTGATTCTTTATCTTCTAAAAACGTGTTTTTAAACAGTAGGATTTATACTTCTACTTGAGTAATAAACATTAATATTTTTGACACCTTTGTTAGTGAGTGAAATTGTTTCCTTAAACTTATATTTTACGTGTCATTTGTAGGATGTCCAGTGGGGGGTGCTCCTTCCCGTCTCAGTCTTGCTCATCAAACTCTCCTCATCTGCCCTCCTTGAACCTCAGCATCAAATCAGAGCGAAGCTCTCCTGACCACATGTGCTCTCCAACCTCCCCTCGCCTGCACCACCTCAGGCAGCATTCTCCAACCAGCAACCCTGATTTAGCTCGACACACCCCTCCAGAGGCTCACTCGACCAATAGGACGAAGGAGCTTCCCAAAGCCGGATACCCGCAAGGTGGAGAGGAGAGAGGGCAGCCTCTCAGGCAGCTGGAGATGAGCGATGGTTGGCAGAGATAGTGGTCTGCCGCTCGCTGACACCACATCTAGTTCAGCAGCTCCCAACCAAACAGGAGGGGTCCAGATGAACGTCCTGCTGAGGGACACCCTCCTCTGTCTCCTCTCACAGAGCTGGGCTCTACAGGGTGGAAAAGAAATCCCCCTTCCATCACTCACTTCATCCCATGAGGAGACAGATGCATAAGGAACTTTTTTTTTGTTTTCATTTTTCTGTGTTGAAAAAAAAAATTGCTTGGTTTATTTTTGTTTCTTCATTTTGCAGCTTTTTGAACATAGGTAGAACAACTGAAAGCCTGAAGATGATGCTGAAAATATATTTAGTATTTAAAACAGGCATTGCTTCTGAGTGGGAACTGATCCTAAACATGCACTGCTCAAAAAATTAAAGGAACACTTTGAAAACACATCAGATCTCAATTGGGGAAAAAATAATGCTGTTTATTAATACTGATATGGACTGGGTGATGTGTTAGGAACAAAAGGATGCCACATCATTTGATGGAAATGAAAATATCAACCTACAGACGGCTGAATTTAAAGATACTCCAAAAATTACAGTGAAAAAATTATGCAGCAGGCTAGTCCATTTTGCTGAAATTTCATTGCCCCCACGTGCGTGTATGCATGCCTGACAACGTCGGGTCATGCACCTAATGAGACGACGGATGAAGTCCTGGGGTGTCTCCTCCCAAATCTAGACCAGGGCATCACTGAGCTCCTGGACAGTCTGAGGTGCAACCTGGCTACGTCAGATGGATGGAAACATAATGTCCCAGAGGTGTTCTATTGGATTTAGGTCAGGTGAGTGTGGGGGCCAATCAATGGTATCAATTCCTTCATTCTCCAGTAACTGCCTGCATACACTCGCCTCATTTGCATTGTCATGCAAAAGGAGGAACCCAGGCCCCACTGCACCAGTATAGGGTCTGACAATCGGTGGATTTCATCACGATATCTAATGGCAGTCAGGGTGTCGTTGTCTAGCCTGTATAGGTCTGTGCGTCCCTCCATGGATATGCCTCCCCAGACCATCACTGACTCACTACCAAACCGGTCATGCTGAACGATGTTACAGGCAGCATAACATTCTCTACAGCTTCTCCAGACCCTTTCATGTCTGTCACATGTGCTCAGGGTGAACCGGCTCTCATCTGTGAAAAGCAAAGGGCGCCAGTGGCGGACTTGCCAATTCCGGTTTTCTGTGGCAAATGCCAATCAAGCTCCACGGTGCCGGGCAGTGAGCACAGGGCCCAATAGAGGTTGTTGGGCCCTAAGGCCACCTTCGTGAAGTCTGTTTCTGATTGTTTGGTCAGAGACATTCACACCAGTGGCCTGCTCGAGGTCATTTTGTAGGGCTCTGGCAGTGCTCCTCCTGCTCCTCCTTCTCGCACAAAGGAGCAGACACCGGTCCTGCTGATGGGTTGTAGACCTTCTACAGATTTCAGCTGAAACTGATTAACAACCCCCTCTGCTACTTACCTGACCAAATCAATATCCCTGAAGTTCAATTAACTTGATGCTATACTCTGATTACAAAGTGTTCCTTTAATTTTTTTCAGTCTATAAAAGTTATGGGGGGAAAAAATCACTCTACTAGAAATGCTCTTAGACTTCAGCGTGCAAAGACTCTGTTCTTTCTAAATCACCAGAATTTAGCATTTGTTCTTCCCACATCTCCTCTAAAAGAAACAGGCTTTAACAGCGACTCTAAATCACTACATATGAGGCCTGTAGAGGGTGTAATCAAACACACCTGCAGGGGAAAATGTTAACTAATTATCAACTAATTAGTCCAAATAAGGCAGTAAATTTATTGTAAAAAAAAAAAAAAGTGCAGGATGAGGCTTGATTGAAAAAATAAATAAGGCCTGAAAGTTTAAATGTCTTGATAAAAAACAGTCAAACAAAATGCAGCAAAGTAAGTTTATATGTGACAGAAAAAAAAGATTATTCTCTTATATTAAATTTGCAAACTAATATTAAATTTGTACACACATTGAAAAAGAACAATGTTATATCATCTTAAGACTAAATGGGCCTGCCTTAGGTCTTTCCTTACTCCCACGTTTAGGCTTTACTATTTTTTTTATCTCCTAATTAAATTTAAACTGCTCCTCGCAGGCCTTATGTTAGATAATGCAAAGAAATATCCACATGGTCCTACACGCACAGAGGCAGCTCAGCTGATGTGGTGGAAAAGCATTACTTCAAATTAATATTTTATTCTTGCAGCATTATGTCACTGAAACTAAAATATATCCCTTTATCTGAGCATGTTTTGGGGAGGGTCTTCAGCTCGCCACTCAGGCTTCTGTCTGGTCAACACTTTGGGTTTACTCAGCTTTATGTCCTGGTAAGTTTAGACGTTGGTTTTTATGTTAAATCTGGTCGGTCCATCATAGTCTATAGTCCAGAAAATTGGGCTGTGTTTGGTTGGTCTGATTTTGTCCCAACAATAGACGTTTAAAATACAATGCAAACCCATCTATCGTCTTTTCAACAATCTGAAAATTGCAGCTTTTCACATTTTCAACCAAACATAGACGTTGTTTGGTCGTAAATTATATCATCTGTTCAACCAATGTTTGCTCGGTGGGCATGTCATCTAAAACAACCAGGCCCACAATACAGTACAGTGGATCCTCCACTGTACTGTATTGTTATTGGAGATGAGGTCCTTTTCCAAATATTCTGGATTTATTTTACAATCGATCAAAGCAGCATCGTTTCAGTGGAGAAAAACTTTTCCCTGACATTTCCTCCATAACATCAGTGTTATGGAATACCAATTATGTGTGGAATACCACACTATTTTTTGAAAGCCTTTTTCTTCCTTTTCTTCACCGTGGGTGGTGGGAGGAAATACCTGGAACTGCCCCCTTCCCTCATGGACCCCTTTCTCAAAACTGATCGCATCTAAAAAGCAAAGTTTTGTGACATTTTTAAGATATGTTGGGGAATCTGAGTCTCCTAGATTAAATTTAAAACAATCATTTCCAGATCTTTACTAAATTTCACCCGGAGAAAATGAAGGTTTTATTTAAAGATGAATGTTTTTTGTTTTTTTTCCCAAGGTCATGAATAATTAATATGGATGATGCTGCTTCATTTAACGAATGATCCAATAAGGCTTAGCTCCTGTCTCTCTTTCACCTGCTCTTCATGTCGATATTTCTCGCTGCTCTGCTCATAGAAACGTGAGAATCTAAATAAAAAACTTTACATTCACTTGTGCTGCTTTTTATATCTGCTTATGGTTTATTATTGCAAAATAAACTGCTTGATGTGACAAAATAAGGTCAGGACATTTCCAGATCTTGTCCTGCAGGGGGCGATATTATGTTACACTATAGCTGCTGTAGGCTTTCTGCTATTGCCAATGGTTATCTGAAGATCTGATCAAACTGCTTCAGACTGATCAAACCCCCTCATAAGATTATTTAGTTGTTTTTTTTTTAAGACATCCTCATCCAGCTGTGGAGTTAGCTTTATTCTCGTTTTATGCTTTTATTAGAAATGTTTTTATCAGTACTGGGTCTTATTTTTACTTAGATTCTTTTTCCTAAGGTTTGTGGAGTTCCTCTCTAGTAAAAAAGAGGTTTTTATTTGATGTTTCTTGTGAATCCTTTTAAATAAAAACATTTTAATTTGTAGCTGTCAGTCCTGGTTTCTTTAAGCAGATAACTATGGAAGGTAAAATGTGATTCTGTTGAAAGTTTTCTACGTCTGAAGGCCGATAAAAGGGGCATTTATTCTGCACCTTTTAAGTTTGTTTTTTTCTCCTCTTTACCTGGTTTCTGTTTATTTGAACCCACATGCAAACAGGCTCCCTCATTATCATGTCAGGGCTGTCACACTGTTCAATACGCTGAGGAGAGCCAGAAGAGCCTTCCTAAAAGCCTGGAGGCTTTTTGTCTGGGTAAAAGAAAATAGATCTAAAATTGTTCTGTTTAAAAGGTTTATTTCCACTGCTGGTCGTTCTAAGAGGATGACGGTACATTTTAGAGCATTTGCTTTAAGTCACTATAGAATAGCTGCTACCAGCAGAGATCAACTCTGTTGTCTTCCCTCCAAAATCCGAGAGACTTTCACCAGGGTCATGTCTGGTCTCCTCCCAGGAGAGCAGCTCAGCTCAGTCTGCAGGGCATGTCTGGGTCCTCTGCAAACACATGCACAGGAAATCACTATGGCAACCATAGCCAGCTGTAGCGAGAAGCTGCAGCTCAGAGAAGAGTCTAAAAGTAAGCTGAGGCCTTTTGCTCCAACACAGAATCCTCCATCAGCTCATTAACCAGAGCCAGAAACCCAGACTTCTCATGTTAATGATTACAAATATGATCCATGATCAGTTTATCTAACTGCAGCTCAAGAGTCTCCAGTTTGTCAGTATTTTCAATTAAATAATGGGAATCCAACAAAATGACCAGAAAATTTATAAAAGTGCTGAAATTCAGATTCTTTATATTTCCTATATTTTCACATTCCAAAATTTTGATTACACTGCATCAACTCCTTCAAAATGATGCCCATTTGTATAATCAAACCTTCTTCTGTCACATAAAATCCATTTCTGAATCCCAACCCTTCTTTCCTCTGCCTAACCGAATATTTGCCACAGCTAAAGTGAGCTAATGTTTCCAGACTGTTCAGGGGCATTAGGTTCATAGTCATCATCAGTGATTAAGGTATGATCCTCTGGAGGCCGGGGTCAGAGGTCAGGACACTTCAACCAGACACTCATTTGTTATGCGTGATCCCTTCTGTCCAATGGGGCACCGGTCCCAGAAAAGAAATCTCCCGACACAAAGCAGAACAAAGTGAGAACGACTGCATTTTATAAAATTATGTTTTCTTTAATAGGCTGAAGACCAAAAAAATGCATCCAGAAACATCTTCATATAAACTTCACAGTACAACGATTTCTAGATGATGTCAAAATAAAGACAAATCAGTTCCAAAACATCAAACTGTACCTATTTCTAAAGTAAAAAGTATTTAATGTGAGAGAAATAAAAAGCAATCCATCCAATATCTAAAACCCATCTAGTGTTGAAATAAAACCAAATGTGTTTACATTGACAAACAAACAGGGAGAGTTTGAAGAGACTGATATTCCCTGAGCTCCCAGGCACTTCGGTTAAAACAAAGAAACTCTTCAGTGTTTTGGCCTTCAGGCACAAATATAAACCAAGTTTGTTTTGCCTGAACTCAACATTTTCAACATCCATGCAAAAAAACTCAAAAACTGCAAGAAAATAAACGGTTAGCACTCTGAAATCGGTTCTTTAAGGGAAACTGAGTCCCTTAAGCAAAATATCTCCTCTTCCAAATTGGAAGTACAAAAACCTGCATTAGTCCCATTAAATACTTGAAGATCAGCAGATCTTTCGATAAAACACTGATTCAGACGCTAGACTAAAGCTGCAGCAGAAGCTCCTACAATGTAGCTGGGGAGGGTAGGCCTGTACAGGAAAGTGTGAGAAGGTTAGCTGCTCAGTCCGCTATGATGACAGTAGCAGATCAGATTCAGAACTATTAATCACTGTGTTTAAAACAAGAAAACTAAATTCTTTAAAGCCATTTAGAGCAGCAACAGCAGGTTTTTTTTTTTTCTGGGTTCACAGACTTATCAGGTAAGAAAATAGCACATCACATTATAAAAACAAAGAAACCAAAGCAGTTTTATGATTAACTGCCACTCTCATAAGCCTATGCTAATTAACATTACCAGATTCTCCGGTTTTCAATGTCTGTTGTGTAAAAAAAAAAAAAAAAGGTAAAACATTGATATTAATTACCATACTAAAAGGCAACTATGTCCATGCAAGCTGGAGTTCATGCATCAAATTTTCTAGATAAAAAAAGGGAAAACAATGCAGTGATAGAAAGAAAATGGCTGATTTTAAGACTATTTATTGAACATGATCTGATTGTTAACTCTTTTTGAGATCAGTGGATACTTTGTTGATTCAGAGTACAATTTAGCTTTGTGATTAGAACTTTCAAACCAAATCTAAATCCTCTTCACTAAGTAAAAAGACTTGAATCCTGAGCTGGTTTCTTCAGTTCAGGGTTGCTCCATTTCTTACTCTTGGCCTTACGATGCATGAGGGTTTGGAGCACCAAAGGGAAAGAATAGTGTCTGATGTTGTAACATTAGAATACTTAACTTTACAATAACAATGAAACCAGTTTTAAATATAAAGGCATTAGAAGTTTTTTTTACATCTGAAAAATATGTCTTTGCAAGACTAACATCAGCATCTATAGTTATGCTGCTATAGGCTTACACTGCTGGAGGACATAGGGACCCCTTTTCATCTTTCTGCTTCATTCTTTCACTATTTTCCCATTCTGAAGTATTTCTTAGTTCAATCTCTAACATTTTGCTCTCTCTGTTTTTTCTCATT